CTCGCTGTGTCTCTCTCTGTCAAATAAATAAATAAAATCTTTAAAAAAAAAAAAAAAGAATAGCTTTTGGAGGAACAGTCTTTGAAGTGATAGTTCTTGTCTCAGAATTCATGGCAAGTGGTGCTTTTGTCTTATCTTCCACGCTCTTTAAATTCTAAGCTCAGTTTAAAAGTTTGGAGTTCTGCGGGAACAATAAGGTGAGGGGGACCTAGAGGAAGGACAGACGTAGAAACTTTGGGTGTTGAAATTCTCAAGCCACTCCAATGAATCTCTCCTGGTTCACCATAGTGACTGGGCCTGTTCTGGTCACATCCCTGCTGGCTCCCTCTTGGCATGGAAAACCAGGTCCGGATCCACAAATCACCAGCCCTGCGATGGCTCACCTTGGCCTCTCCCTCAGCAAACCCCCCGCCTTTGGCCTGGCAGAGCATCGGCACTCTGCAAATCCCTGTTGGTTGATTGGTTTTGGTAGTGTTTTTTGACTGAAGCACAAGAGTTCCTTTTAAGAGAACAACCTTGTGCTCAGCTTCAAGGCAGGTTCCCCGCTGAGGTGCCCATGGGTCAGCCTCAGCAATTAGCTTTGTCTCATGCTGGCCCCTGAGTCAGGAGGCCAGCATGACCCTTTGTCTCTGGGAGTCCAGATTTCCTAATGTAGGGCTCTTTCTAATACAGAAAGCAAGGTTGAGTAAATATGTGAGCTCATACGCTTTGTTGCCATGAAGGGTATTGCTGTGTGGATTCACTCATGGAAAAGTAAGTGCTTCTGGACCCTGAGCTCGTAATGTCGTGATGCAGGCCTACATCTTTCTTTACAGAACATACTCGGGATTCTGTGTGTTTGTCCTCCCCCGCACCCCCTTCAACACTCAGACACTTTTCCAGACCTGGGAGGAATTTTCCCTTCCAGACGGATTTGTAAGAAGAGCTATAAGAGCGTATTTTATTCCTCCCGTGTGATGACCTAAAATGGCATTCCACGTCTTTAGCACTTGAACCTCGAAAAAAGAAAAGGAAAATCTGCAGGTGCTGCTCCCTCCTCGGGGGAAGGTTAGTGTGATCTTGCACATCAGCAGACACTGAAGAGATGACACATGCACACCGAGTCCAAAGCTAACAACACAACAGTGTTTACCTTGAGCTTGGGCAGGAAATCATTATTCAATCTGGTTTGTTTTATCAGGCAATTCCAGGGCCACACAGACGGGGCCAGCTGTATTGACATTTCTAACGACGGCACCAAGCTCTGGACGGGCGGCCTGGACAACACGGTC